ATTTCTTTATCTAGTCACCTGTTGATGGATATTTGGTTTACCCCCATGTTTTATCCATTGTGAATGATACAGCCGAAGGTAAGAGTATACAGATCTTGAGGATCTTGCTTTTCTTTCTCTCTCTCTCTCTCTCTCTCTCTCTCTCTCTCTCTCTCTCTCTCTCTCTCTTTCAGATATACATCTAGAGTTGAGGTCGTTGCATCATAAAATAGTTCTGTTTCTGATTCTTTGAAGAACCTCCATACTATTGAATTTTGGCTTGCTTCCTTAGAACCGAAGCTTTACCTAAGAGCTGTGACTGAGTAGCTGAGAACAGTCACAGGAGACAGGGACCCAACCCAGAGGTCTTTGAGTCAGGCCTCTGGCTGCCCGTGAGGCTAGAGCTTTGGTGCCTATCTGTACGCTAGCAGCCCAGCCACTCAGCTGCAGGAAGGCCATTTGAGAATGCAGCCACCCTGGTGATTTGGGTGCTGTTTCAGGGGCAAATCACAGAGATGCTCAATAATCAGAAATGTATTTCATCTGCGTTTCCTCCTAACAGTGTTCCAAGGCAAGCGTCCCTGTTCACCTACTCCCAAGATCTGTTGGGATGTGTTAGTGCCCACAGAGTGGGCCAGGGCAAGGAGCGCTTCCTAGATGGCCTTTGGGTTCAAGAATTGTATACCTGCTGGTATAGGTGTATGAGGTGGGCCTCTATTTTCTTATACTTCTGGTTTTCTTCCTTTTCCTATTTTTATAAATCATTCCCCTCCTCCACCATCTGTTCTAAGAGCTGGGAGTCAGGGCAGCCGTTCCTGTCATGAATGAAAGGCACAAGGCTGTTCCCTGTGCTCTTCCAGGCCTGTCTCCCCAGCTCTCTCCTCCACAGCCCAGGAATGTGTAAAGGGCTGAGTCAACAGTCAGCTGCCCTGAGACAAAAACAGGGTGTTGTCGGCTGGCAGACCCACACAGATCTCTGGAAACCTGAAAACCTGGCCTGGCTGTTTCCTCTTCCTCAGGCCCCTCACTTCCCTTGCTGCTGTCTGCCGTACCTTGGCCTTTCCATCCCCAGGAGCGCCGGCACTTTCTGGCCAGGTTTCCTGGTCTCTAGGTTCCTGTGATTATGAGTGTTGATTTTCCCAGAATGCTTGGAAGGGTGGCACACTGGGTGAGGAGAAGCCAGGAAGACTATGATGCAGCTTTGACCTTCAGAACAGGGGAAGTGACGCCTGACAGGATGGGCCCTTCTGCCATTCTTCCTGGCCATTTTCAGTGTGAGTCACAGTGCGCGGGGCAAGTGCCCTGGGGAGTGAGGCAGTCCTGGTGCAGCACAGCATAGGTGTAGAGATGGATTGGACAGTCCTGGTACAGCACAGCATAGGTGTAGAGATGGGCTGGACAGTCCCAGTGCAGCACAGCATAGGTGTAGACATGGGCTGATCAGTCCTGGTGCAGCACAGCATAGGTGTAGAGATGGGCTGGACAGTCCCAGTGCAGCACAGCATAGGTGTAGACATGGGCTGATCAGTCCTGGTACAGCACAGCATAGGTGTAGAGACGGGCTGGACAGTCCCGGTGCAGCACAGCATAGGTGTAGAGATGGGCTGTCCAGTCCCTGTGCAGCACAGCATAGGTGTAGAGATGGACTGGACAGTCCCGGTGCAGCACAGCATAGGTGTAGAGATGGGCTGGACAGTCCCTGTGCAGCACAGCATAGGTGTAGAGATGGACTGGACAGTCCCGGTGCAGCACAGCATAGGTGTAGAGATGGGCTGTCCAGTCCCGGTGCAGCACAGCATAGGTGTAGAGATGGGCTGTCCAGTCCCGGTGCAGCACAACATAGGTGTAGAGATGGGCTGATCAGTCCCGGTGCAGCACAGCATAGGTATAGAGATGGGCTGAACAGTGCTAGCCGCCCTGGGCCGTCTTCCCGCTCTGCTCGCCTGGCTCACAGAGGCGAAAGGGGAGGCAGCCCAAGGGACTCTGTCTCGGGTAGTCTTACCCCGGGTGCCTGTTGCACTGTTCTGAGAACCAGCCTACTTCTGTTTAGACGGTGTCATTAGTGCCCGGCAGGTCATGATCCCTTAGCCAGGGCACCTAATGCTTGCCTGCAGAGCAAACACTGCGCCCGCTGGGGAACTGGGCTGAGACTGTGCATTAGGTTAGCATTTACACTCAAATAGGCACTGGGATGTTGTAGATGAAAGTGGTCAGCCATGATGGAATTTGATGTGGAAATGCCCCGTGGTGCTCAGCAGCTCTGGGGAAGGGAGAGTTTACTTCAGAGTAGGCAGTACCCAAGCAAGGGGATGTCAGCTCGGGTGGCTAGAGCTGTTCTTTGGAGAGTCATATCCAAGATGATCGTCGAGGGAAAGTATGGGCACAGGGCAGTGCTACAGCTGGGAAAGGCTTGAGAAGTGTGATGTGAGCCGGGTGTGGGGGTCCACACCTTTAATCCCAGCACTCGGGAGGCAGAGGCAGTCGGATCAATGTGTGTTTGAGGCCAGCCTGGTCTACACAGTGAGTTCCAGGACAGCCAGAGCTACACAGTGAGATCCTGCCTCAAAATAAAATAAAATAAAATAAAATAAATAAAAAGAAGAAATATGTAGTGTGGAATCTTGAATATGCTGGATTCAGCACGAACTATACGGTTCTGAGTGCATTGCATTCTGGCGAGAGGTAGTCAGTGGTTGCCAGTTAGGAACAGAAAAACCATGTTCCTTCTTGGCACGGGTAATCCGGCCAGGTGTGCTCCAAACTTGGGGAATGTTACCCTGTAACTCCAGTAGTGTCAGGTGTTTGCGAACCCAGGTAGGGTGTGGGGGTTGGGCTTGGAAGGGGCAGGGCACTGCCCGCCCTCTGAAGCCTGGTTACGGTCAGTTGCTGTTCCTTGCCACCCTTTCTTCCGCCTCGTCATAAAGATGTCTGGATTTTTCCGCTCTTACAAGTTGTTTTTTTGACTGACTACCTTTTCTAAGTCTGGGCTTGTAAGAAAAGAATGGACTCTTTTTATGACCTTCAAAATGTTTTTTTACTGCCATGACCTAAAATAAACCGTTATTTAGGGGAGACCAGAGGATGGTTCCAATTAATTCCAGCATTTATTTTATTTGTTTTTGTGTTTCTTCTTCATTTGTGGTGCTAAGGATGGAGCCCAGAGCCTTTGACATGTTACTGCTCTGCCCTGAGCCACACCCCTAGATAATGCATTCTTCTTTTTTTTAAATCCCATACTCTTACACAGGCCATGCTCATTAGCAGTGTGGCTTGTAGTATCCAGAGCCAGGAGGGCTGCTGAGTACATCACAGTTTTGTGGTAAGAAGCCAAGCCAGTGTGTGTGGTAAGAATCACCGTCTTACAGTCTTGGGCTTGTCCTCTCTCCTGGGAAGCAGGAGGGGAAACGCCGGTCCCTGTACTTCCCACCCCCTCCTACGGAACCCAAGACGCGTCACAGGGGTTTTGATTTAATCCCACGAAGCTTTAGCAGGATGTGTAGAAAAGCGGAATGTCCCCCGCTTCCCTAAGCATTCTGTTGCCTGGTGATTTGTCCAAAGAAACAGTTTCACTCAGTCTCAGGGTCATCCCTGTCATAGAATCCGGGGTCTGTCTCTGAGAATTGGTTCCATCAGCACCAACAGCGTGGGGGTTCCCACCAGCATGCCTGGGGGCTCCCACCAGCGTGAGTCCATTCATTGGATAAAGGGCCGCTCCTTGCCCCTCCGTAGTAAATGCAGTGCATCTCCACAGTTCCTCCTGTCACCTCATCCCAGAGTAAAGCCTCTTCATAGCAAAGCTCCACCCAGTCTCCTTTATCCCGGAGGCAGCTGATGATGAGTGAGATGTTCTAACTGTAGCCAGAGCTGTCCTAGCATTAGACTCAGAGGACTTCAGGGCTCCAAGAGGTGGCGGGTCATCAGTCCTTCCTCCTCACTTTCCGAAATGGGAGCTCATAGCCACGGGAGGAAGACTGACTTCCCGAGGGTCACGCAGCAGCCAGTGCAGGCTCTGGGCTGGGATGCAGGGACCTCCTGTGCACTCTTTGTTCTTTGTCTCTGGATAGTAGTTCCAATAAAACACGGCAGAAAAGCCATTGGGGCAGGAGTGTGTGCAGACGTATGTAAGGTTGCTGTTTCCCACCTGGTCAAAGGTTTGTCTGCACACGTGCGGGGAGACTAGTGGTGGCCATTTCTGATATTCTGGTATGGATAACATCGTTATTCTAAAATATGAATTTGGAAATGTGGTGGCTGTAAACCCACCCCGCATGTACCATGTGCAGTGGAAAGCTTTGTGATTCTGATGTGTCTGTCCTCTGCTTCTTAGCCACCTCTGACACAATCCTTTGGCTTTCTTCAGCCTTCTCTGTACTGATTCTTGCAGTCGTCTTTGAACAGGGCGTCTTCCTGATGGCCTCGGTCAGACCAGCATAGCTCAGGTCTTGTGCAGAGTCCTGGGTCCTTCTTGCTCATTGGCTGTCCCATTGCATGCCCTCTGCTTAAATATTTCCATTCCTTCCATATGCCAGTGGCTCCTAAACCTGGCCTCCCTCCTCAGCCACTCAGTAAACTTCAAAGTTAGTCATATTAGTACTTCCACTTAGTGGGCTCAAGACAGTGAGCTCATCAGCCAGCCACACAGAGGAGTGCTTATGGTTTTAATCTTTTGGCTTGCTGTAGTTTCCCAGATTCCTAGTGGCCTCCATCAGAAAACTGGGACTCACTCTTGACCCTCACAGGACAGCTGGAGTGACCTCCCTGCCCAGTCCTGCCTGCCCTCCTTGCCTAGCTGAAAGCCTCAGCAGTCCCTGAATAGGCCATTGTAATATGTCTCTGTGCTCATGCTGCCTACCAGACTGTCAGCTCCCCAGCACCCTGTGTGATGCCTGGAGTGTTTTCAGTGCACGTCTGTCAAGGACGTGAGTGGTGGTGTCCGCCTTTGGGAAGGAGCATGTCTCCGGGGAGACCTCATAAACACAGAGATGCTAACTGTTTTCTTTGGCTTCCTTGTTTCTCGTTAGATTAAGGTGACAGTGCCGAGTGGATCAGCAGCCATTCCACTGCCCCTCGGGGGTTGTGCCAAGAGCAGGGGAGCATGGAGGAGAGGAAGCAGGAGACAACGAACCAAGCTCATGTCCTCTTTGACCGGTTTGTCCAGGCCACGACCTGCAAGGGAACTCTCAGGGCCTTCCAGGAGCTCTGTGACCACCTGGAACTGAAGCCCAAAGACTACCGCTCCTTCTACCCCAAGCTCAAGTCCAAGCTCAACTACTGGAAGGCCAAAGCCCTCTGGGCCAAACTGGACAAGCGGGGCAGTCACAAAGACTACAAGAAGGGAAAAGCGTGCACCAACACAAAGGTAACCCTGGCTGTTCCTAGGACATGGGGTCACCAACACAGGGACTTCAGCTGGCTTCCAGGAGGACTTGAGGAGCGGAGGGCAGGGGACGAGCAAGGCCTCAGCCCAGCTGAAGGGGTTAAACTTGGTCGAAACTTGGTTTCCTGTGTTCGTTTGACACTCCCCTCACCAGACCCCGAGAGTATTTCATGTATTCTCTTATTGAACATTCAAAGCTTGAGAGCAGGTGGATAGAAAGTTTCTATTTTGCTGAAGCTCCCCCCCCCCCAACCTCACACTGTTAGGAGGATGCAGATGCAGGTCTACATAGCCAGGCCCATGTGAGTATACTCTCTGAATGGGACTTCATGGGTGTTGGCCTGGCATCTTTTCCAGAGTCATCTTTCCATGTTCAGTACCTGGTAAGGATTTGTCACAAGTGTCAGACTTCTTCCCATCCATAGTCTGAAGGTCGACTGTAGTTCACAAACAAGGACCTTGTGAATGGAAGTATTTCTATTGGTGTCTTCACGGTGTGGAAAAATAGAGTTTCCGCAAAATTGGCTTGGATTGAAACCTGAGATCTGCACTCACCTGAGTGGGAGTAAGAGTGAGAAGTGTGCATTCACCTGAGTGGGAGTAAGAGTGAGAAGTGTGCACTCACCTGAGTGGGAGCAAGAGTGAGAAGTGTGCACTCACCTGAGTGGGAGTAAGAGTAAGAAGTGTGCACTCTCCTGAGTGGGAGTAAGAGTAAGAAGTGTGCACTCTCCTGAGTGGGAGTAAGAGTAAGAAGTGTGCACTCCTGAGTGGGAGTAAGAGTGAGAAGTGTGCACTCTCCTGAGTGGGAGTAAGAGTGAGAAGTGTGCATTCGCCTGAGTGGGAGCAAGAGTGAGAAGTGTGCACTCACCTGAGTGGGAGTAAGAGTGAGAAGTGTGCACTCTCCTGAGTGGGAGTAAGAGTGAGAAGTGTGCACTCTCCTGAGTGGGAGTAAGAGTGAGAAGTGTGCATTCACCTGAGTGGGAGTAAGAGTGAGAAGTGTGCACTCACCTGAGTGGTTGTAAGAGTGAGAAGTGTGCACTCAACCCGAGTCGGGATAGGTATGAGAAGAACTCCTGTGAGAAGTTTAGGAAAAGTTAGTAAACAAATGTCCAGCAGCTTCTGGGCTGTTATTTCGGCTTTTTGTGACTTTTAATTTATCCTGTGGGACACCTAGAGACCCGTCCCGTGGAGAAGTTTGAAGATTTGAAGGCACGATTCTTATGAGTGACTACTAGACTTCAATTTAAAATAAAAGGAGGGGCCTAAGGGGCGCTCACAGGTAGACTACTCAGCATCCCCTCTTCTACCCCCCCCAAAAAAATCTCTCTCACACACACACTGAGTGAGAGAGAGAGAGCACAAAAAATGAAGAAAAAGTATACAGAGTCAAAGCATTGTGTATCTTCCTTCTGAGGATAAAGCACAGGCTGCTTAAGGTCAGTGTTTGTCCTGCCCCAGGGAGCTTAGCAAGAGCATTTCCCTGAGCTTTCAGTCTAGAAATGACTTTAAACCTCACATCAGGGGCTGGAGAGAGGGCTCAGCAGTTAAGAGCACTGGCTGTTCTTGCAGAGGACTGGAGTTGGGATCCCAGCACCCATACTGGGTGCCTCACAGTCGTAACTCTAGCTCTAGGAGATCTGACACCTTCTGGCCTCCTTGGGCACCTGCAATGCATATACATACAGACGGACAAAAATAAATATATTTTAAAACAAGACAAAACAAAACTCCAGTTCCAGGACATCCAATGCCTCTTCTGACCTCTGCTGAAGGAATTCAACAGATGGTGTACACACATACACTCAAGCTCACACACATACACTCAGGCTCACATATACTCAGACTTACATACATACATACACTCAGGCTTACACACATATATTCAGGTTCACATACATGCACTCAGACTCACATACATGCACTCAGGTTCACATGCATGCACTCAGGCTCACATACATGCACTCAGGCTCACACATCCACACATAAAATAAACAAACAAATATTCAAAAACAAAAAAGCAAATTCTTCCATACATGAACCTTTGGGTCTTGAAAGTTGCCTCCTGGGAGGCATTTGCATGGTAGAACCAGACTTGATTGCCTGAATGTAGCTAATCATCTTACATTTGGACAGCAGTCTGCCTGTGACTTAAGAACTTCCTAAGGGTCCTGTTTTGATGAAAGATGAGATGCGATTTTCATACTGTTTGTTGAGTTTGTTAAGTCTTGCTGATCTTGAGTCCTCCAGGCTGCTCCAGGTAGACATGGCAGGGTTTTCTTCTTCTCTGTGCACGGCCATCATGAGCTTTTTCTCTAGGCCACTGCAAGGGCTCTGCTGTTCTAGGCAGGCTTCAGGTGTCTTGGTCCTGGAGTATGGCACTAGGGGGACAGTTATAGGAAGTGTGTTTTGGGAGGTGTGGCCTCTGCCCTGAGAACACCTGTGTTTTCCAGTGTCTCATCATTGGAGCTGGCCCCTGTGGTCTCCGCACAGCCATCGACTTGTCCTTGTTGGGAGCCAAGGTAGTTGTTATTGAGAAGCGAGATGCCTTCTCCAGGAACAATGTCTTGCATCTCTGGCCCTTCACCATACACGATCTTCGAGGGCTGGGTGCCAAGAAATTCTACGGCAAGTTCTGTGCTGGAGCCATCGACCATATCAGTGAGTACCACCAACTATTCCTGCTCCCTTGTTCAGTGGACAGAGACAGGTAGGTGACCTGAGGACTTCCTCCTCAGCCAGGATGTGCACCTGCCACCAGTGTTCTAGAATCTAGGCTTCTAACCTCAAGTGGGTCTCTTGTGCAAAAAAGAGTTAGAGTTTCGCTTGAAGATTCTTAGTTCGGGACCAGGCATGGTGGTGCACTCAGGAGGCAGAGGCAGACAGATCTCTGAGTTTGTCTACTGAGTGAGTTCTGGGACAGCCAGGGATACACACAGAGAAACTCTGAATACACACACACACACACACACACACACACACACACACACACACAGACCCTTTGTTGGATCTTGGGACTCTTGCTAAGTACCCATAGTATGTGCAGTGGAGGAGGAAGGGTAGGCATTGGAAATAGGTGGACAGTTTGAATTTCAACCTTCTGGTCAATCTTAGTTCAGTGAAAGAGTACACTGGCTTAGGTTCTGTGTTGTGATCTTGTATACCCTCTACTAACGCAGGAGAACAGTGCCATGGGGCACAGACGTGGGAAACCACACACAAAGAAGTAAGAGTCATAGCTTGGACACAAATGCCAAGTCTGCAGTGAGAGTCTGTGTTCTGGTGATTAATGAAGTCAGAGCCTTGTATTTGTCTCAAGATGCTCTTGTTTTCACGAAGTGGCGTATCTGAAACCAGTTCGGAACAGTGTCTGCATCATAAGATGGAGAAGTCTTTTTACTGTCATTAATTAGTCTAGGGAGATGTTAGTAAGGAGCATTTGTTCTGAGCTCCTCCATCTGTGACCTGAAAATATTCAGCCATTAGAGCTTTCACTGTTTGAAGTGGTTATACCAATTTATCCAACACTAGCTGGCGGCTGCCACATTCCACTGGCAAGAGGAGGTGCTCAGCCCATCTGCCAGGCTGTAATTTGTAAAGCATCTTGGAACCCACAGTTGTCTGCAGAAATAGAGTGTGTGCTAGCACAGGCCTCAGTGAGTCTTCGGGAGTGTGACTCAGAAGGGCGAGGATATGGTCAGCTGAGGAGAGTAACCAATTGGACTTACCAGGGGATTTGTGCGTGCTCATAGCTCATTAGTCACAGGCTGCAGGTAAATTTGACCTTAAGAGAGGACCAAGGGTCGTTGACTGATTGGATTTGTGGTCCTTATCTGTGGCCAGATTTATTTTAGGGCAGAGGCATCTTGACCAGGGACAGGATTTCTGCCTCATTGTAACCTCTCATCAATGCCAGATCTAGTAGGATTCATCAGATATGTTTATTACCGTGATAATGAGCAGGATTCAGTCCTTTTGGACCTCAGTTTCCACACCTGTACGTCACTGGTGGTGGGAAACGATAAGAGACAGGATGGGGTTGTGGTTTCTTTGGTGTATCTGGTAGGAGCACATGAGGCCAGCAGAGGCTTAGATTGGAAGACGTGCTATGGCATCTTACCTGTGGGTTCGCCTCTCCTGTGCTGGCAGTAGTGGGTGCCTTGGAAGACTGTGGATGCTGCTGAAACAGTGGCTCTCAGTGGACCCTCTGTCATCATGTTAGGTTATTTGGAATACCTGGCTCCAGAAGTGGGGTGGCCTAGTATATCCAGAATGTTTCTTCCACTGTTTAATGTTACCTTTACAACATGGAGAAAGAAAGAGAACTTCTGAGACATGTCTCTGCTGAGACAGCCTTTGGGAACCTAAGCAGACATGGATGGATGGGAGCCTGAGGGTAGGCACCACAAGGCTGTCCCCTTCCTGTCCCCTTGCCATCAAAATCTTTGTGTTCTTCTAGGTATCCGTCAGCTCCAGCTAATCCTCTTGAAAGTAGCTTTGATCTTAGGCATTGAAATCCATGTGAATGTGGAATTCCAAGGACTTGTTCAGCCTCCCGAGGACCAAGAGAATGAACGTGAGTCGGACTGGACAGAGGAAGGCGTGAGGGCCCTGAGTGGGTGAGAACAGATGAGATCATGGGAGGAACCAGAAGGCCTTGCAGGTGGTTTTCAGCACTGACTAAAGGGGCTTTGTTCATGCAGCCTGGGCTTTTGAGGACTTTTGGCTTGCCCAAGAGGCCTTTGACATGGTGTTAGGCGTGGCAGGCCTTTGTATTATAGGAAATGCAAAGGTAAAGAAAGCGTCTTTGTGAGCTCTTGTCAAAACTTTCCGTGCAAGGCTGGCCCCTTATTCTATTACATGTAGTGCTTTGAATTGGGACGCCGTGTGATCTGTGTGTCTGGGTGTGACTTCCTCTAGGTTGTGACCTTCATTTTGCTTGTGGTCCACAGGGATAGGATGGAGAGCATTGGTGCACCCCAAAACTCATCCTGTATCAGAATACGAATTTGAAGTGATCATTGGTGGGGATGGGCGGAGGAACACCCTGGAAGGTACTGGCTTTGGCCTGTTCTCTCTTGCCTGGCTTATCTATCACAGATTGGAGGCTGACCTGTCCCCAGAGACCACAGCCCTAAGAATTTGCATGTGTGCTCCCCAGTCAGTGCCTACAAGGGGTATTTCCCACAGATCACTGAGAGACAAGCTGTGTTTAGAAGTATTGGTACCACAGCTCTTAGTCTAGGCATGAATATGCCAGGCACACAGCACCCCTCCATTTTAAGGGTAACCTTTAGTACTGAGCAGGTAATCTGGTCAGATGGATTTCACATTGTCCGTGATGTGGGAGGGGACTTCCTTCTTGAGTTCTTCTTGAGTTCCATCCCTGTTAGGTGAGCAACCCACTTTCCCTAATTCTGGCCCCCCAATATTCTCTCATTTGAAGTCCTTATCCCTGCTCTCTTTCGCTCTAGGATTTCGTCGGAAAGAATTTCGTGGCAAGCTAGCCATTGCCATTACGGCAAATTTCATTAACCGAAACACAACCGCAGAGGCCAAAGTAGAGGAGATCAGTGGTGTGGCTTTTATATTCAACCAAAAATTTTTCCAGGAGCTGAGAGAAGCCACAGGTTGGTGTCAGGGCCTGCAGAGCCCAGAGGTTGTTGGTGTGGGTGGCCACTGATGTCACTTCTGTGTCCTTTGTCCTCTGTTCCTCTGCCCCTCCCATCCTGTGTCCTTAGCATGTTTCCACACTGCGGCTTTCATGGGTCAGTCCTCAGCACAGTTACCAGGCTGCTCTGGGATGTGTTTTTGTTGGTTCTGCCTTCTGCCATCTCATCCCAGCTCCTTCCCCCACCCTACAAGCCAGGCTCTCTGCTGGGTGAGCAGGCTTCCCACTGGCTGGTTTTGTTGACATCATGACCTTTGCTATCACTGTGGCCTTCTCTGAGGTCATCTGAGCTCACCAGCAACCATTGCTGGACAGGAATGGGATTGTGTGTGACTGTTGTCTGATGGGTTGAATTAGATATGCTGCTGCAGTGAAACAAAAAAGTATCTTCATTCTGATTTCTAGAGCTTGATTTCCTTCCATTCCATGTGTCTTTCAGGTTAACTGAATAAAAAAATTTAGTATTTCTCTCTCTACATTTAGGTGTCTATCCTGTTAGAAATCTAGGCAGAGCCTCCAGCTTCCTTGGTGATTATCAAAGAGGTTTTACCTGGTACATAACCCATCCCCTCTTGTAGTTTGGCCAGCCTCTGCTTTACTTTTCCCATTTTCATGTTCTGTTTACTGTTGGTTATTGTTTTTAGGATAACCTAGGATACTGAGTGGGTTATAGGGCTGCACAAAAGAAAGCCAGCCTCGCGATTTCCATGCACTGTGCAGGAAGTGAGGATCTGAGCCTAGACAGCTTTCCTGCCTGGTGCTCTTCAGCGCTTTCTGTGAGACTCAGGTCCAGCCTCGTGGATTCCATAGTGTCCCATCTTCCTGAATTCTCACCCGTCTGTCTTCTGGTTGCAGGTATTGACTTAGAGAACATCGTCTACTACAAAGATGACACACACTACTTTGTCATGACGGCCAAAAAGCAGAGTTTGCTGGACAAAGGGGTGATACTGCATGTGAGCAATGGATTTCTTTCGTCAGCATCTCTGTTGAACTGCTTGATAGGATCCCTAAGAAGAAGTTTAGTCTGATGGGTTTTTCCTGTAAGGGACTGAAAATGACAGTGAACACATCTGGAAACCCATGCTATTTATTAGTTTAACTTAAAAATATTTTTATTAAGGAAGATTGAAGCTATAAACAGGAGGAGGGCAGAATGGGCCTGTGTGGCCATGATTATGATTAGCTTTAACAGTCACCAACATGGCCAGATTGTTTCCATAAGCCCAACTCCGTCCTCTCTCCCCTCTCCTGCTCTTCAACCATTTTAGAGCAACTGTCGGATGTCACATCCTACATAACTAGCCAGTTTAACTTTAGTTAGCCTGATTTACAGTTATATTGAATTCCATACATGACAATCATTGATCATACACCCTCCCACACCTATGGGGACTGAACCGAGGGCCTTGTGCATGCTAGGCAAGAACTCTGCCACTGAGCTACGTCCCTCGACTTTGTTTCAAAGAACTATTTCCTTCGAGACAGGCTCTTACAGTGTGGCTCGGGCTGACCTTGAAATAACACCATAGCCCAGGCAAGCCTTGAAAGTGTAGCCATCCTCTGAGTAGCTGAGATTATATGCCTGCACCACCAGGGCCCACATTAGTGGGTCCTCTTTTAGGGGGCAGAATGGCAAGCGTTGAACCAAGAAGCAAGCACTTGGTGTTTACAGTAGCCTGACAGTGACTCAGGTTTTACTGCAAACGTGGTTACGAGAGGTCCAGGGAACACTGACCTGGCAAGATCCGGGTATATTTAAGGCTCTTTTCTAACTAACAGCAAAGGCCTGGTGTCTATCCTTAGCCAGTTCCAGCTCAGCCCTTTTTCTGGATGACTAATTGTATGATATACCCTGAGCTGAGGACCTGAAATCTAAATCACAGGCTAGCCGGTCCCTTAAGGAGCGTGGCTGTCATCTCACTTGGTCCCGTAGATCTGGATGTGAGAATCACTTTCTCCGTGCGATGAATGGATAGAAGAAGCCTCAGATGTGCTGACCGAGCCCGTGCAGTTCCCACCAGTCCCAGAGCTGACTCTTAGGGAGCTCTTTGTGTCTGCAGGGTGCTAACACATCAGGCCCCTCAGAATGAGTCACACTATCGCTTTATCTATAGCAGACTGGGGAGCGAGCTGACAAGCACGTGCTTGCGACACAAAGTCCCCTTTCCACCGTGAACCTCGTGTCTGCATCTCAGCATGGCAGCCCTGTGTGCGTAGGGAACAGCAAGACAAAGCTCTTGGTACAGAGTTCCCTGCCAAACAAAAGCAAGGCGTGTTCGGCTGGATGCTTTATAAAGCTGGCTGGTTCATTATCTGGGGCTCTTCTGTTGCTGTTAGTCCTGCAGTCGGGATGCCTGAGGACAGAGTTAAGACTCACACCAGCCATCCATGCAGATCTGGGTTATCAGTTAGAATTGAATAAGAACAGTCTGGAATGCTGAGGTCTGATTTACTTTGCCTCTCTATTTTTGTAGTGTAAGGGGTTTATGCTGCTAAATACTAAAGCCGTCGTGCCCACTTAACACTGAGCAAACAGAATTTCCAGGACTGACTTGAGTGTGTTTTGGCTTCTGACAGCTTACGGCTGTAACTGAGTACCATTGGGGGCACTTGGAACCCACAGACCCCACTTTAGGGGAGCAGACTTGACTCAGTGCACAGGAACCTCCAAAGCAGAGGAAGAGTGTCTCAGTTCTCTGCATAGAAAGCCCTTTGGATGCTACCATCCTTTTTGTTTGTCGGTGGGTTTTCACAGAGCCTTGCAGAATCCTCTGTGTGATTTAGAAATCTCTAGCTCTCTCAGTGTGTTCCCTCTCGTTGTCCAGGAGCAACCTGCTCTTGCTCCACACCACACTTCTCTTTGCACTAAAGTTTTCAGATTTCCTTTAGGTGTAATAAATCTGAATTTCTTGCTGCCAAAAGCCATCAGACACCCAGATTAAAGTGATTGTAGGAAACTTTAAAATGCCTTTTCAGTTTACAGTGGCTGTTTTACTTGATAATTGTAACAGCTCTGAGATAGATGACCTTTGCTGCGTAGGAAAGCCAGGTCCATTTAGATAGCAAAGCTGATTCACTCTTAACCAACACCACCCCCATCTCTGTTCTTTTTAATTGATATAAAAGATTTGGTTTAGGTATGTAAAAACATCTTAGGGAGAAAAACGCCAAGAGACAAGGTCATGTTTGATGTTCGTTGTGGGATTGTAGCTGGCCAATTGGGCAACTACCCACTGCACATCCCCACTTGGGCTTCTCCATCTCGGCCTGTGCTCTCCCTGGACAGGACTACACAGACACGGAGCTGTTGCTTTCCCGGGAGAATGTGGACCAGGAGGCCCTGCTGAACTATGCCCGGGAGGCTGCAGACTTCTCTACCCAGCAGCAACTGCCTTCTCTGGATTTTGCCATCAATCACTACGGGCAGCCTGATGTGGCCATGTTTGACTTTACCTGTATGTACGCCTCTGAAAATGCAGCCTTGGTACGGGAACAAAATGGACACCAGTTACTAGTAGCTCTGGTTGGGGACAGCCTCCTGGAGGTGAGTACTGAAAGGGGCAGAGAACTAAGGGGCAGAGGCCCTGGTAACTAGGAGATGGTGATGAACGAGTCTGGGTGTTCAGAGACTCCTTACAAGAATTGCCCCATAGAGGAGAAAGGTGATGATGGGCCCCGGGTCACTGGTTTATTTCCCTCTTTTAGTAGCTGAGTTACTTTAACTCTGTGTATATCTCTTTTTCAGCCTTTCTGGCCAATGGGAACAGGAATAGCCCGGGGCTTTCTGGCTGCTATGGACTCTGCCTGGATGGTACGAAGCTGGTCTCTGGGCACCAGCCCCTTGGAAGTCCTGGCAGAGAGGTAATGGCAAGAAGTCCTGGGTGCCTCCTACAGGACTGGGGAGCGGGCCTGCTTACTCCTCAGCCAAGTGTGACTTCTTCCTCCCTCTTGCTTGCTTGTTCTTCTTAAAAGATGTGTTCATCGAGTAGAGAAGGGCAGGTTTCTGTCTTATAAAGTCGCAGACGCTTCAAGGTGATCTGCCCAAGCTGTTCTTCTCATACCCCTCCTCAGACAGCATCTCCTGTTGGCATGTGGTGTCCGCGTCTTTGTGCACCAGTGACTGGTCCTGACTCCTTCCCATTAATTATACATGCAAAGGCACAGGAGTAGCACGTTGGCATCCATGTTCCGTAAGCCAGCGTGGCAGTGGGAGCATGCTAGCTGTGGTCATCAGAAGTGGCTAGCTGAAAAGAAAACCCCTACATGCTTGTAAACATTTCTTGAACCCCTGGGGGTCAAATGTTTGGAAGCCGATGATTGTAAATGAGGCGGGGATATTAGGATTTACCTGCTGTCTACCCTGACCAGGAGAAACAGAAATGTGAGATTTCCTGGATGAAAATATTATTCTCTAATAATTGATATTATTTTCTTTTGTTGTGACAAAACATCATGACCAAGACAGCTTATAGAAGAAAAAGTTTATTTGGGGGCTTACAGTTTCAGAGGGCTATCATGATGACCAGGGTGGGGAGCATAGCACCAGGCAGGCAGGCATGGTGCTGGAGCAGTAGCTGAGAGCTTACATCTAATCCATAGGCCTGAAACAGAGAGAGAGCTAAGTGTGAATGGTGTGGGCTTTTGAAATCTCTAAGCCCACTCACAGTAACACACCTCCTCCAACAAAGCCACACCTCCTAGTCCTTCCCGAACAGTTCCAACTGGGGACCAAATGTTCAGGCATAAGAGTCTTTGGGGGCCATTCTCATTTAAACCACATTTCAGCCCCTAGTCCTCATAGTCTTGTGGCCATATTGTAATATAATACAAAATGCATTTAGTCCAACTTCAGAAATCCCCATAGTATCTCACAGTCTTAACACTTTAAAAGTCCATAGTCTCTTCTGAGATTCAAGGCAGTCTCTTAATTGTAAGCCTCTATAAAACCAAAAAGCAAATTACATACTTTCAACATACAGTGGTATAGAATATACATTACCATTCAAAACTGATAGAATGAGGAAATACTGGGCCCCAACAAGACTGAACCCCACAGGGCAAACTCCAAATCCTGTAGCCCCACATCTGATGTCAGAGGGTTTAGAAGGCTGTGTCCTCGTCTGCAACACACTTCTCTCTTGGCCTGGTTTCTCTCCCTGTGCCACTCTCCCTGGTAGACATTCCAAGGTTCTGTCACTTCCAACATCCTGGGATCTCCAGCACAGCAGACTTCACCTTGACAGCTTCACACAGTGGCCCCTCAGGACCTCCATGCAGGAACTCCCTACCTTAGCCTGGCCTCAGCAGCTGTTCTTAACCTAAGACTAAGATTCCACAACACCTTTACTCCTGTGTCCTCGTGACTCTAAACTTGAGGGTATTTCCAAGTTTGGCTGCCCACCTAGGATGGAGCCTGGCCCATCCTTGGATTACATTTGCATAAGCTTTGACTTGTTACTTGTAGGAACAGAAAATTCCTTAGGCCTTTTCCTTTCACTAGCTGCAGGGCTAGCTGGGTGGGACCTTGCCCAGAGGGCACCACTCCCTTTCTACCCCTTCACACCAGGCTTCTCTCCATCTCTTTCAGCACCAGCCTTGGTGCCAACATTAAATTTTCTTGTGTTCTCAACTGTACGTCTCTTATTTCTTTCGCCCTGTTGCTCTCTTTTGTTGTAGACCTGCATAAGAACGGTCACTAATAACCATGTGACAGAGTTAATATGAGGCTATCTTGAAATTTTTTTGCCAGTAAATTAGTTCAAAACACTTCAATTTAGCCTCAGGCAGATTCTTAGGACTAGGCCAAAAGCAGCCACTTTTTTTTTTTTTTGCCAAATTATCACAGGAATGGCTTTTAGCCCAGTTGCTACTGTTATTCCCCTCTGAAACCTTGAGCTGGGCCTCCATAGTCAGTTCATATTACTCTATGCACTGTTGTCCTCTGAGCTCTTACTAGGATGGCCTGTTCAGCTGTGCTTACAGTGTTCAGCTGCTTTCCTAGTCTAGAGTCCCAAAGTCTTCCATACTTCCCCCAAAATTAGCATAGTCAGGCAGGTCACAACAATACCCACTCCTGGTCCTAACTTCTGTCTTAGGGTTACTACTGTTGTGATGAAACAGTGTGCATCTTGGGGAGGAAAGGGTTTATTTGGCTTACATTCCACATCACTGATCATCATCAAGGTCAGGACAGGAACTCAAGCAGGGCAGGAACCTGGGGGCAGGAGCTGATGCAGGGCCAAGGAGGGCTGCCTACTGGCTTGCTCTTCTGTCTGCTCAGCCTGCTTTCTTACAGAACCACCAGCTCAGGGTGGCACCACCCACAATGGGGTGAGCCCTCCCTATCAATCCCTAACTAAGAAATGTCCTCCAGGCTTGCCTACAGCCTGATCTAATTAGAAGCATTTTCTTAATTGAGATTCACTGCTCTTAGATGACTCTAGCTTGTGTCAAGTTGACATAAAAACCAGCCTGCACATTCTATCATTTTAAATCTTTAATGTAAGGCATGTATCTGGATATAATGGCAAAGCTTATTTTTTTCTTTGTTTTGTGTTTTGAAATAAGAGTCTCCCTCTGTACCCTAGGCTGGCTTATTACTCAGTATGTAGTCCCAGCTGGCCTTGAACTCAAAGCATTCTCCTACCTGAGTGTCCCATGTGCTAGAATTATGGGTGTGAGCTACCACATCTACCACCTCACTACCACCATGCTGGGGTCCAGATTTCCAGCATGTGACCTTTGGGGAAGTAAGCACAGCACTGACAGACTCAGGGAGGAGTAAACAGACCTTTATGCTAACAGAGAGGATGTTTTGGAAGTGTCCTTCATCCTTAGATTAAATATTCTACTGTTGAGGAGAAGGTTCAGCAAAGATGACTCCATGGGGATAGGACTCGGGACAAGACAGACTGTGCATTCCAGTAACCCACACAAGCTGGCCCCATGTTCCTTTCGAATTTCTTAGCTGTCATAGTAGATATTGGCACACTACATGACAGCCTTCTAAGTTAACATCATTTGCCACCCCCACCCCCCAGCATTGCCCCTGCTCTTCCTTTCGGGCCTTTCCCTGGTCCAGGTCCATGGGGTCACTGAGTTCTGGTCTGGAGGGAAGAGCTGAGATCGATTTGGTTCGAGATTCATCAGGGATGACTGTTGGCTAACTTGTCGTGTAATTTGGTGCTTGTCACTGCTGCGAGCACACTGTTGTATCTCACTGCATGTGAGCACACTGTTGTATCTATGTCGTTGCAGGGAAAGCATTTATAGGTTGTTGCCTCAGACCACCCCTGAGAACGTGAGCAAAAACTTCAGCCAATATAGCATCGACCCTGTCACTAGGTATCCCAATATTAACATCAACTTCCTCCGGCCAAGCCAGGTAAGAGCATTCCCGTCAGTTACGTACTCCTAGGCCCATGTTCTGGATGCTCATAGCTCTGGTCAATAGACCAGATAGGAATGTGTATAACTATGTTTGTTATTATACAATATATATTCCAACAGGAATGCATGTAGCTATGTTTGTTATTATGCAGTATATATTATACAGTATATATGCTTGTTATTATACAGTATATATTCCAACAGGAATGCATGTAGCTATGTTTGTTATTATACAGTATATATTATACAGTATATATTCTTGTTATTATACAGTATATATTCCAACAGGAATGTGTATAGCTATGTTTGTTATTATACAGTATATATTATACAGTATATATGCTTGTTATTATATAGTATATATTCCAACAGGAATGTGTATAGCTGTTTGTTATTATATAGTATATATTATACAGTATATATGCTTGTTATTATATAGTATATATTCCAACAGGAATGTGTATAGCTGTTTGTTATTATACAGTATATATTATACAGTATATATGCTTGTTATTATACAGTATATATTCCAACAGGAATGTGTGTAGCTATGTTTGTTAGCACACACTAATCCAAGTTGATAATCTCTATTGTTGAAAGTGGATATTATTTCCCATTACCACATTCAGCAGCTAGGGCACAGAGGGCCAGTCTTTCCTTCCTTTTCTTTATTGGTTGGTCAGTTGTTTTGAGTTTGGGGTGGGGGTTGGGGAGACTTACTACATAGCCCAGGCTGGCTTTGAACTTGTGATAATCCTCTTGGGTCAGCTTCCCAGATGCTGGAGGTACAGTCATGAGCCACTGTGTCTGGCTAAGTAGAGTTTTTTTTTAGTGACTTGTAGATCAGAAAGGACAAAAACAAAAGACCTAGAACGTCACCCTCCACCTCCCAATCCAGGCCACACAGAGTAGGGCAAAGGGCACCGACTGGTTCAGTAGTCGGGAAGCATGACGACACTGACAGCCTCACCAGCCATCCCCTGAGACTCAGCAGGTTGTATGGCTTTCTCTGAACCTCAGTTTTTCACCTGAGAAGTGTCCTTGGTAACTCTGCCTACTCACAGCATCATTGTCGGGCAAATGCAATTGTTCTCTCAAAAGGGCTCTGAAAGGTCAGGACACTCTCTACAAGTAGAAGGCATTGTTGTTAGTGTTAGCCTAGATTTTTGTACTGCTTCTCCAGAATCTGTAAAGCCCCTTTGCTGTACGTCTAACAGAGCACAACAGTCCTGAGGAGCAGGACACATAGGAAGTAGCCTCCTCCGCACGTGTGTCTGTATCGTAGAGGAGTCTCTTTTTGCCTTCTGCCCGATGTCTGCAGGCTTTGTGAATGTGTTTGAACAGTGTTTATGAATACTCTGAGGGTGGGCAGCGTCAGATCGGAGGGACTGCTGTGGCCAGCTGGCTTACTGTCAGCCAGCTGCTTACATCATTCCACTAAAGCTCCAAGGCATCGTGGAGAATCTGTCTTCTTTTAAGTGGGGACTTGTTATTCCGGGTTTCATTTTCCTTTTCAACCTTTGAACTTTCTGCCAGGTACGCCATTTATATGATAGTGGAGAAACAAAAGATATTCATCTGGAAATGGAGAACCTGGTGAATTCCCGAACCACTCCCAAGCTGACTCGGAATGGTGAGTTCCGACAATGGTCTAACCTGTTCAAAGCAGTCTGTACTCATCCATCAGGCTGTTGCGTGACCACGGTGCCATCAAAGGCCCTGGGCTGTAGCCAGTGGTTTTACCCGCTGGGGATATTAGGTTGTTGCCAGGGTGTATTTTTATGTCATGACTGAGGTAGGTTTACTAGTGGCACCTAGTGGATAGAACTCAGGGATGTTGCTTACACTTTTTGGGATGCACAAAACGACCCTCACACACACAGAAAGGTATTGTGGTCTAAGGTAGTACAATAGTATAGAGGTAAATTATTGTTTCATGAACTTTTCCTAGGGAGATATAAACAAATGTCTGATTGTCCCAGATGGGGAACCAACAAAAGTAATAGACAAAAGTAGTCAGTCCACTCAAGGGTAGCCCTGTGAACCAGGGAGTTCATAAGCATACCTGCAGGGACATGGGTGACCCCCAGATGTCCGCATCACTGCAGTCTCACTCCTGTGTAGACGAGGACTTCTCCATAGCTGTGGGGATGGAGGCTTCCCTTCAGTTAGCTCTCTGCTTTCTCCATGCTCCAGCACCTCCTGAGACTGTGTGCAGCCAGAACAGCATTATGTAAAGCTGAGGTGTTTCCCTCCTGTGAGGGGACAGCAACAGCCCTGACCTTAAGGGTCGCTTGCCACTAATCCCAGCCACTCTGTTGAAGATGGTAATGCTCTTACACTTGGAGGACAGTGTCCCATGGCAATCAGTTACAGATCCTGGAGAGGGGGAGAAAGAATGTGCACACAAGCTCCTGGGTACCCGTACACACACTCAAGTTTTGGGAGAGAACATGTGGCGGCCTTTCCCCTGGGTCCTGAGACAGCACCATCCTGCTGTGGCAGACACGAAGGTTGTTATGCCCAGATCACAGGGGCCCCCAAAAGACCACCACGGAGAACAAATCCCGCATGTAAAAGCAAAGAGCCTTTATTTCAAGCTCCGAGCTTGGTCTCTCTGTCTGTCCAACACAGTGGTGAGAGCAGAGAGCTCTGAGCTCAGGTAGGGCAGAGTTTTTATCATAGCAGACAGTTGGGGTGAGGGGATTTCCAGGGTCCAGGACCCTGATTGGCTAACAGTTGTCTAGGGGTATCTGTAAAACAAAAAATAGTGTGTGCTAGACTCAAGGACATCTGGCCACCTTATCTCATGGTTGGAATGTTTGGGATGTCAGATACCTCCCTGGATGGATCCCTGGGTGGTATCAGCTTAAGGCTTTTCCTGGATCTGGGTATTGTCTGCCAGTAAGCCTTTCACATAAGCTGTGTCTAGGCCCCTAAGCCTGTCATGGCTGCTGTGTGGTCAAGCTGTTTTGGGGCCCTCCACAAAGGTCATTCTGTGTTTTGTGCGTATTGAAGGGCTGCTGGAGATTTTCTTTGGGGAGTGGCATTGAGCACAGCTGGTCAGGTGCATTCGAGCGGACTGAGCAGGGAAATACGCATGGTGCTGGGAAGCTGTTTAGGAAATAGCTCAGTAGTCAGTCTCCGTGGTAAAGGCCAGAATCTGGGGCTGAGGCAGTGAGTCACAGTAGAACCTGGACTTCGGGGCCAAATACGAGCAGCTCTCAGTCCAAGCTGTGCCTTCTACCGCGCTTGTGGCTTTGGGCAGATTAGTTAGGACCTCAGAACCTTGGTGTCCGTGTCTTTGACCTGGGAGGAACGACACTGCTCTTGGGTTGCAGTCAGGTCTCTGGCGTAGCATTGGCCACAGTGCTCTGCATGCTGTGGGTGGAAACAGCAACCGTTTTGTCGTTATGGTTAATAGGAAAAGTCGGAAGGCACCCCGGTGGATAGGCATGGACGGTTAATGGTCCTGAGAGGTACCAGGTAGATAGTTGTGGTTTTGCTGCATCTGTCCAAACAAGGAGGTGAGGAGGCTGGAACGGTTTGAGTTCTATTTTGGACAGTTTAATAACATGGTCGTGAGATGTCAGGGTAGTTTGTGACACCTCTTCTTCTCCTCTGGGGTGTCAGCCCTTGAGAGCAGAGACTGTATCTCTCTTTCTCACCATAGCCGTGATCACCACCGCTTCTGCAGTTGCCCGATAGACATGGGGCGGGTGGATGTGCAGACGTGGGAAACATCCGAGTAGGTCGATAGCAGCGCCAAGAGATGGGCCCAGAAGTGCTCCGTTTGTTGTCTCAGATCATGCTGGCACTGTGAAGGACTTAGCAAGACTCTGATCATAGGCGTTTTTAAATCATCTGTTCACAAATCACCAAGTGACTTCGTGCAAAGCTAAATCCTAGCTGCCTCGGGGACAGGAACAGACTGCTCAAACTCAGATCAGTGCTCGCAGAACTCCTCGCGATGAAGACATGTCAGCAAGTCACATGCCTTGTCGTTGGCTGCACATGTGATCCTTTATAACACAGGTTGCTAACCTGAGTCAGGGGACCTGTCCTGGTCTGGAGTATTTGGCCTTGTCATTTTTAGCCTACAGAGTCTCTTCACTTGGCGCTCAGTCAGGACCTTAGGAAGTGAGACTGAGGCTTTGTTTGCTTTTGGTTTAAGGTACCACAGAGGAAACCTTTTCTAATCTAATCTCCCAGTGTTGCTGTGGAGGAAAGGCTTCCTCAGCCTGTTGCCAGGCAACTCTCCAGGGACATCTTGACTCTGTTGCCAATGAGGTATCAGCTTAGGAGGTGGCACTTTGCCATCCACTTGTCTCCAGGAGTGCTGCCGGAACATGGCTTCCGTGTGGCAGGTCCTTGTCACCTGCGCAGAGGTATCTCTCTGGGGCATTGACCCTGGAATCAGATAGGTTGGTGCCTAAAATTGTGCTATCATGATACTAGTGACATAAACTCATGCCTCACTGCTTTCTTCCAAAAATAACACTGACATTTTGTCCCCACCCTCAGTAACTTTTCAAACTGGATATATGTGTGCTGCAAAGAAGATGCTATGTCAGCGTTACTAGGTGAGCATACTGCAATAATTATTTTTATTGTTGTAGAGTCTGTGGCTCGTTCAAGCAAACTGCTGGGGTGGTGCCAAAGGCAGACAGATGGCTATGCAGGGGTCAATGTGACAGATCTCACCACGTCTTGGAAAAGCGGCCTGGCCCTGTGTGCAATCATCCACAGATACCGCCCTGATCTGATGTAAGTCATGACCAGTTTTGTGTTCCATTTTATCTTCACCAGGGATCCCAGAGCCCTTTATATAAACTGTATGCTTTTTCCTGGTATGGGTTGCATGGTAAAATGCTTTCTCTCGAAGGCCAGGATTTTGACTTACTTGTATTTAAAACTCAGTCCCCCAAAAAGTTAGCTTTAAAAGTCATAGCATGCCGAAGGTCAAAAACTGGTTTTAACACCCACCTGGGCCTGTTAACTTTGCACAAAGGAAAACTCTGTTTATTGGCCCCAGGTTGAACTCTTCGTTTTGGCTAGCTCTCTCTCAGATGCTATTGATCACAAGGGAAACCTGGCGAGAACACTTGGCTAGCTCAACCCAACAGAAAACAATAGATATGTACCTGATTTATGATGGTCTTGGGTGTTTTCTCTGTTAAAGCGTGTGCTTTTGCAAGTGTGCTCCTGCGCTTCAGGAGACGTCATCTTACCTACTATCCCCTGATAGCCATCTTTCACTCCTCTGTCTACAGAATCAGTACAGAGTGGCCTTGGGTCAGCCACATGACCAAAGCACTCAGGACACCCACCACCCCCAGGCTCTTGTTACTATGGAAGCCAAACAGAGTGAGAGGCAGCAGCAGAAGCTGGGGATTTTCTTGGCTGCCTTCTTTTTTATCGTTAGGTCCACTCAAGGGTTCAGGTTTTGCCCGTTGTTTTAATGCTTGGCTGAGGAAATCCTAAAAGGCATAGTCCCTGTTCTGTGATGTTAGCAAGGAATGATGCAAGAGGTAATAAAACCAGCCTCACATGGTGTAGATTAACAGCGAGGGCCATGTGTACAGCTCTGGGTTTGATCCCCAGTACCACAAAACAAAACAACTGTGGCCAGACTTGCCTGCGATCTCAGCCTTGGGCGGCTTACGCAGGAGAGTTGAGTTTCAGATCAAAACTGTCTCCTAAAATGAATAAATAAATACGGAGAGGTGGGAGTGTAGCCTTTGCCCAGCAGACACCCACCAGGCTTTAGTTCGATTCCCAGGCAAAATGAAAAGAAGGGGTAAATTTCTGATGTAAAATAAATGACCTCTGATGCTCGTCCAAAAGTTGGTTAAAAAAAAAAAGCTAAATGAATGTAGTGTTTTGTCATTTGCACCAGAGAAGAGGGGTGAGGAGAGAGAACAGCCATGAGGCATGACAGGGTTTCCGAAGCTGGGGTGGGGGCGGGGGGTCAGTTCCATCTCAAAGGGACAGCAAGGAAGAGAAGGAGGTAGGGAGGCAGCTGGGGGTGGGATGGAGTGTGGGTAGAGGGTCCTGTTAGAACACCCTAAGGTGGCCTGCAGAAGGCCTGAGGGTGGTCAGGGAACAGGAAGTGCGTGATTCAGCACTGCTGCGACTCTTCAGGGTGAGTGTTCGTGGTTTAATGGCCTTAATTTAAGAGAAAAGTAATTCGTTTTTAATGGGAAAAAAAAAATTCATGAGGTCAGTAGGGTTAACACAAAGTAAGGGATGGGATGCCAGGATGGTGAAGGCAGCTGAGAAAGCCATCCTCTGAGTAGTGAGAGCGAAACCTGGGACGGTGGAGCGGGTGGGGGTGGGGGTGTTTATTAATGGAGATGGCTGGGAAAGCTCAGAGATTCAACAGTGGAGAAACCTTTGAAGAAGGTTTTACAATTTCCCCTCAGGAGAAAGTTTAATAGAATTTACCAGAACTGTTAGGGCAAGCGACAGTCCCAGGACATCAGGAACTCGATCCAGACAGATTATGTCACTGTTGGACAGTAGTTTTTTTATGTATTTGTGGCCAGGCACATACTAAGATAGCTCCCATCCCGAGCTGACGTTACAGTAAGGAGTTGGTGTCCCTGGAAGATGCAAGTTGTCTCTCTCCCCTCCCCCACACCTCTTACCCCCTCTCCGTTCATCTAGATGGGTAGATCTCTAGTCATTTCCGCCCTGAAGCCCATCTGCTCTCTGATCCAGGGATGACGCCAGACTCCCTGGACCTCACCCCAGGGACTGAGAAAGGGCAGTGGTACCCGGTACTGTGTCTGGATGGAGGGCAGTGAGCCCAACTTGATCCACCTCTCCTTGTCTTGCTTCTCAGAGACTTTGATTCTTTGGATGAGCAGAATGTGGAGAAGAATAACCAGCTGGCCTTTGACATTGCTGAGAAGGAGCTGGGCATCTCTCCCATCATGACAGGCAAGGAGATGGCTTCAGTGGCGGAGCCCGACAAGCTCTCCATGGTGATGTACCTCACGCAGTTCTATGAGATGTTCAAGGACTCACTCTCCTCCAGCGGTAAGGACCCGAGGCTCAGGGCTGGGATCCTGGCCTCCTCTGTCTGGTCAGCAGGGAGGTCCCTAGAACCTCACTTCACCCGTTCCTTCTCAGCACTGTGTTCTTAACCCTGTGCTGTTTTCAAAATCGATCTCACTTTACCCATAACTATGCAAAACTGATCTCTCCAAAGCTTTCTTCCTTGACTCCGCCACCTCCCCCAGCCTCTCTCAGACCCATCCCTTCTGCCAAAGTGGCTCCTGATGAACTTGGAAGTTCATTGTAACACTGCTGTTCTTCGTAGAACTCTGCCCAGACCGCCCTGTGCCCTTCCTTGCAAAGAATCTTCCCAATCCAAGTTCCTTTCTTGTTTCTCACCTCTTTATTTTATTTATTTATTTATTTATTTATTTATTTATTTATTTATTTATTTATTTATTTTTTGGTTTTTCGAGACAGGGTTTCTCTGTGTAGCTTTGCGCCTTTCCTGGGACTCACTTGGTAGCCCAGGCTGGCCTCGAACTCACAGAGATCCGCCTGGCTCTGCCTCCCGAGTGCTGGGATTAAAGGCGTGCGCCACCACCGCCCGGCTATTTTTTCATCTTTTAGTTTGTGTGTGTGTGTGCATGTGTATGCGTGTGCGCGTACGTGTGTGGTTGCTCCTAGGGTCTCATGAACATCAGACAAGCTCCTTACACCGGAGCTACGTGCCTAGGCTTGTTTCTCATCTTGCAGACTTGGTATTTCTCCAGTCAGCACTCCGCAGTGATGTCTCTTGGTGCTCTCTCACGGTCACAGTGTCTGTGATGCTGTGTTTTGCTGGATCCCCAGTAACTCGCCCTCTCTCTGGCTTCCCTTGCATCATCTTCCTCTTAGAGATTCCCAGATGTTTCCGTGGTCCTCAGCCTGCTGCCTCAGCCAGGACCCAGTGGGGCTACAAAATGTCTTCCTGTGAAACTCGTTCTAGTTTCCTTTTCTGTTGCTGTGATGAAAACCCTGACCACAAGCGAGGGGGGGAGGGGAGGAGGTTTACTTGGCTTTCACTTCCAGGTCACAGTCCATCATTGAGGGAGGTTGGGGTGGGAACTCAAGCAGGAACCTGAAGGCAGGAACCGTGGAGGAACGCTGTTTGCTGATTTACTCTGGTCCATTTGCTCACAGGCTTATGGTTAGCCAGCTCTACAGCCCAGGGCCACCTGCCCAGGGATAATTCCCCCCCACGGTGGGGCCGGGTCCTCCTGTATCAGTGGATAATCAGGACAACACCCCCCCAGGCCCATTTGATCTAGGCAATTATTCAGTCACATTTCCTCTCAGACGACACTAGGTGACTGCTTATGGTCACTGAAGCACTGTGCTTCAGAGTGTTGGCCAGTGTCTGGCCTGGGTTTTGTTCCAGCATTTCCACTTTCCAACCTCAGACAGATTGCTAAGTTTCCTTCGCTTCAGTCTCCCTGTATGTAAAAAGAGAGTGATGGATATCATAATGCTGTTTTGTACTAAGAATGGCAAATGAGCATTGAATAAATGTTAACGATTCTCAAAATTGCTATTGCTATTAGTATAATATTAGATGGCTCGGTGGGTCAAGGTGCTTACTACCAGGTAGTAAGAGCCTGAACCTGAGTTCAGTCCCCGGAGCCCACAGAGAGGCAGGAGGAGAAAACTGACTCCACAAAGCTGCCCTCAGACCCCAGCACATGCTTGGGGCATGTGTGCCCGCCCCCCAGATAATAACAATAATAAATCCACAGTTAATGGTGCCCTCCTCCTCACAGCGTCTTCAAGCCCGTGTGCCCTTATCGGGACCTGTGTCTTTCTCTAGCTGGATATGCATTTCTTTTTTTTGTTTTGTTTTGTTTTTTTTTGTTTTTGTTTTTGTTTTTCGAGACAAGGTTTCTCTGTGTAGCTTTGCGCCTTTTCCCGGAACTCACTTGGTAGCCCAGGCTGGCCTCGAACTCACAGAGATCCGCCTGGCTCTGTCTCCCAAGTGCTGGGATTAAAGGCGTGAGCCACCACCGCCCGGCTTTGGATATGCATTTCTTACAACACAAACCCTGAACCCTGAGGAGCCCTGTTCGTTGAGAACCCCTCTTCAGACACAGCTAAGAAAGGGCCTCTGCAGCCCCCTAAACTGACAGCCCTGTGTCTCATCCCTCTCAACCCTCCACCCCAACCTGAAGTTTTCTTTATCAAAATTTAACTTTACCAGTCTGCTGTGATAGTCCCAGGCAGAGTCCACCCTTTCCATAGTGGAAGTGTGGGTCACTGCAACTGAAGTGTAAGGAGTGGGGTGGTTTTGTGGATGTGGATAGAAAAGAAAGTGTTTAGGCCAAAGCATTCGTTTCCTTTCTGATGTTTTCTGTGGCTATGCATGCCCTGTCTTAGTTGGTAGCCCCTCAGAGTCTGTGAGCTTCCTTCCGCCAGTTCCCTATAAGGGAGCGTGGTTCCGGTCAGGACTTTGTGGCGCTGTCCCAGGTAAACATTGCTCACTCCTGTCCACAGACACCTTGGACCTGAATGCAGAGGAGAAAGCCGTCCTGATAGCCAGCACCAAATCCCCCATCTCCTTCCTGAGCAAGCTTGGACAGACCATCTCTCGGAAGCGTTCTCCCAAGGTATGTGCACACAGAGTCACATTAATGTGGCTGCGGAGTTAATGGCAAAGGAAGGTGACCAGGCTAATGCTGTCTGTGTCTTCTTGTGGTGCAGGATAAAAAGGAAAAGGATTCGGATGGGGCTGGAAAGAGGAGAAAAACCAGTCAATCAGAGGAGGTAAGATTCATCTCGGTTTGTCAGAACTGATTGCTCTGAATTATCCTTTTTGGTTTAAGGGTTTGGGTTTGTGTGTACACATATGTGTTCCTGTGTGAGTTTATGTGCATCGTGTGTGTGTGTGTGTGTGTGTGTGTGTGTGTGTGTGTGTGTGTGTGTGTATGTGTGTGTGTGTGTGTGTGTGTACACATATGTGTTCCTGTGTGAGTTTATGTGCATCATGTATGTGCAGGTACCTGAGGTACCAGAGGGCATGGGGCTCCCTGGAACTAGAGTTGCAGGTGGTTGTGAGCTGTCTCCTGTGGGTTCTGGGAATAGAACCTGGGTCCTCTGCAAGAGCAGTAAGCGCTCTTAACCACTGAGCCATCTCTGGCCACCTGGTTTAAGTTATTAATTCTCAAATGGGTATTGCTAGACCTTTACGTCGTCATCTGTTGTGAGGGTTTCTCTGTGCTTTTGCCTCTGTTTTACTTTCCAGAAACTAGCAGGGAATGAGCACACACGTGTGCTCAGGCTTTCTCTCTGTGGAATCACACATTTGGCAAAGCACAGTGGCTTTGCTGAGATCTGGTGATGCCAGCACAAGTCTGTGTGCCCTGTGGTGCCCTGCATCCTGGCACCTTGCTGACTGCACATCAGAACGTTGCAGAGTGCTGTCTAGCAACCTGAAGCTGCCGTTCAGTTCCTGCCCACACGCTGAGAGAAAAGCATCGGCATCTCTGTGACCCGTCCTGATTCTTGGGTGCTTTCTGTTGGGCAGGAGGAGCCTCCCCGGAGCTACCGAGGAGAGAGGCCCACCCTGGTGAGCACCCTGACGGACAGGCGAATGGATGCTGCCATTGGGAACCAGAACAAAGTAAAGTATATGGCAACCCAGCTGCTGGCGAAGTTCGAAGAGAATGCGCCTGCACAGTCCACTGGTGTAAGGAGACAGGTGAGCTCAGCTTCTGGACGGGCCACGCCACAGACCCCGGCACTCGGGGGCCAGGCTTGCTCTTGTCTGAGTCTTGCACATTCAGGGCTGCACTGGCGTCCCCTCCCGTCTCAGGAGTCTATGACCAGAATCAGTAGAGGGATCTGAAAATTACTTGTTTGGATGAGTGTAAACACATGGATGTGTTCACACACATACCTACTGAGTTACAAAGGAAGCTTGTAGCTGGCATGGTGGTGTAAAAGCAAGGCTTGGGAAACTGCGGCAAGAAGATTGTGAGTTCAAGGCTAACTTGAGCTACATGATGGTACACTATCTCAAGAAAAGAAAAAGAAGAATATGACTTAATGAAGGAACTCTAAAAAGTATAATAGAGGTGATTAAGGCACCTACAATTCTATTCATTTTGCCACATTTCTTTCTGGGCTTTTTCTCAGAACATTCTTGTTTTCATGGTGGGGACCATTCCGAGGGCACACTTCCTTAGATTCCGCCTTTTGTTTTTGCCCACGGCCTACTCCTGTGTCTTCTCAGCTCACAGGCATCTGCAGAGTGTGTGTACACTGTGCTAGTCACTGTCTCCAACTGTGATGGGTGTTTCAGTTGCTTCTCCTGTGATAAGATATGAAGGTATCCATCCTTGCTTCTGTGAGCTAAGATTCTGTTCCGGGAATGTGAGCCATTTAGGTGGAGACTTATGGAGACATAAGTCACGTGTCAGAGTCCGGCAGCACCTGGCCTGGAGTGTCCATGTCACGTCTTGTCTCTCCCTTGCTCTGCAGATGTCACTAAGCCTCTTTAAAGAGAAGGGGCTCGCGTTTTGACTTCTCTCTGAAGTGGGTTACAGTGCTCCCTGATACCGAAGGAGCACCAGGACAGGGCACATTCTCTGTCTTCATCTTCTCTGCTCCCAGACCATGGCTCCCATGGGTCCGGAAGCAGCCATGAGTTTGCTCCTCATGCCGGGCTTTGGGCTAGTGTCTATGCTCCTGTCTTCCTGACGTGTTGAAGGCAGGGATGGTAGCATTCCCTGGAGCAGTGGAGGTTGCTGCGCTCTGCCAGCCCCACATCAGGAGGCCAGAGCGCCCTCCAGTGGAAGGTTGCCTCTGCAGGAAGTTTGCCTTCCTCTCCATGAGGGGATTAGTTTTCCAAATCAGATAATCTCTAGACCCCAGAGAATTCAGTTTGGTAAAAGGGTAGCAAGAATCACAGCTGCGGGGCCAGGCGGCAGTGGCACACACCTTTAATCCCAGCACTCGGGAGGCAGAGCCAGGTGGATCTCTGTGAGTTCGAGGCCAGCCTGGTCTACAGAGTGAGATCCAGGACAGGCACCAAAGCTACACAGAGAAACCCTGTCTCAAAAAACAAAAAACAAAAAAAATCACAGCTTGGTTTCCTCTCTTCACCCTCTTCTTTTATCCGTCCCTGTGTTTGCACTTGGTTTTGGGTTGGGGGAGGCTACTATCTTTCCTTTAATTTTTTTTTTTTTTTTTTTTTTTTTTTTGGTTTTTCGAGACAGGGTTTCTCTGTGTAGTTTTGCACCTTTCCTGGAACTCACTTGGTAGTCCAGGCTGGCCTCAAACTCACAGAGATCCGCCTGGCTCTGCCTCCCGAGTGCTGGGATTAAAGGCGTGAGCCACCACCGCCAGGCTATCTTTCCTTTATTAATGTAACTTTCTAAGGGTTAACTTAGCCTGCCCACCCCCTTACAGTTTACGGACAGATGTCTGTCCTCCACAGGTACCTTTTTCGTCTTCTCCTACCTTAATGTATTTTATTTTGTTTTGTCTCCATGTCCTGCCCCCACTCACGCGTGGCCTGTGTGTGTCACAGCCGACACAAAAGCGTGGGCTCAGCCAGCCGTCCCGCAGCCTGCCTGCGCAGGGTCGCCCTGCTCCCATCCCCCAGTGGAAACAGGTAAAAGAATTGCTAGGGTTTAGCACAGCCACTTCTGGCTTTCCACCCTGCCTCTGCTCCTGGCCTGCGTGAAAAGCTAGCTCGCCAAGGCAAAGCACTGCGCGAGTCCTCTTTGGAAACATTTGACAGACAGTGCTGGTCTTATTCTGTGGTTGCATTTACTCCCTGGGGTTCGAGGCGCCTCTTAGGAAGGCTGTTAACTCGGTATTGAAGGCAGCTGGCGTCACGTGGGAAGGCCATATGAGCCCTTGGGTCTTTGCTCTCGTGTCATTCCTGCCAGATTGGCCTTTCGGTAGCCTGTTTCTGTGTGACCTGTGTCATGCCTGAGAACGGGTTTGTGCCTTTCGTGTGAGGCAGAAAATATACCTGTGGAAGTAGTCAGGAGCTGTGGACTTGTTTCTTTCAGACCTATACAAAAATTTATGTTTATGGGTTGAGTTTTTTGATTTTTGGCCTTTTTTCTCTTTGGAATTTTGTCCACATCTTTCAGTGGGGGGGCTTAGGAGCTATGGCAGTAGCTCAGTGGGAGAACATTTGCCTAGCTTCATGAGGCCCGGGGCTCCATCCTTAGTGCCACCCCAAAACAACACACAAAAAACTTCTGGGGATTTCCACCAAACCTTTTCAGGACTCCTGGAAAACTGCTTATCTGACAGTCAGAACGCCTCGGGCAGAGGAGACTGGTCAGTGGGTGGGACGCGGCTTCCCGTGCGTCCCTACTGTTGCGGTTGAGCACTTCATTGCTGGGACAGGGTACTGGATGAGCATGTGTCACTTTGCTTGGGTAGGGTGAGCTGATCCTGGGTTCTCTTAGCTTCTCCGACAGTCCGCCCGCCTCACCAGCTCTGGTGTCTGGAAGTGCTGGGGAATGATGAGGTGGGTGTTACAGAAATTGCATTTTGAAGAAAATGCTCCTTTCTAACCTTGTAATAATATACACGTGGGAGGCAGAGCCCAGGAAGGGAGAGAGAGAATGTTGGATCAGCGTCCAGACTCACAATAGGAGCCAAACTTCCTGCCTCAGTAGGAGTCACTTCATAGAGGGAGGCCTTCTGAAAAATGCCATCAAGCATTTGTTTGTTTGTTTGTGTTTATCCTTTGCTCGAAGTCTGGATGGAAGGGAATGGGTGAGCTGGTTTGAAGTTCGGAAGTGTAAAGTCTTCTTCCCAGAGAAGGCCTGAGATAGAACAGAACAGCAGGAAGGTCGGGCGTCACCTGCAGGAGGGGACATGGGTGGCTTTGTGTGCGGCCTGTGCTGGTGCAGCTTTGTTGGGCTTCTGGGAAGGAGAGGGCAGTGTGTGTGGCTCAGAGAGCCTGCTGGGTGTTGGCCTCTGTCCTGGTGAAGATCAGTCCGGCAGCTTGAAAGGTCACCTGGAACCTGGTTATACCCAGGCTGCTCACGAAGCCCAGTAGCTCATAGCGTTACGCCGAGACCCGTGTGGACACTGGGTTTTCTCCTGCCTGTTGAGCTTGTCGCCTTCGGTGGAGTAAGATACCGGTAGCTGTAGCCCGTGGCGTGGAAGATGGTGTGAGCCTTGGCAGCCTCGAGCAGCAGAATGCTTTAGATCAGTAAGTGCTTTAGGCTTCCTCGAGTTGGGGATGACAGACTTCAGGGCCTGTAAGGCGGCACTGGCACACTGTACCCCACGTTTTGTCCCGGTGGAAGGTCGAATGCTCACATATCCATCATTTTTCAGCTCTACCTCATGGGTTTGGCCCTCTAGATGTATCTCCTGGAAGCCAGAGATGTGTTCAGACGCTCCCAAGAATGGGAGCTCAGAGCCCCGGCGCCTGGGCTGCTGCTGGCTGGTCACTCACCTCCGGTAGACAGCACCTCACTGTGACTCACTGTGTGTGTCTCTTGAAGTGGCTCCTACTGAGACGGGAGGCGTGGCAGGTGTGGCATCCATGGCAGAGTTGGCACGAGGTCCTGTTCCGACTTAGGTCATCGTGTAGAGTGGGGGGAAATGGCTCACAGCCCTGCTTGCCAGTGGTTTTGTGCTGTTCTTTCCAGTGTAAACACTGCGGCTCGTCCTTTGCCCTCCCTTCTTCCTTTTGATCTCAAAAGTACGTCCTGCAGATAAACTGCACATGAGCCAGCCTGGGTTTGGAAGCCGATTGTCATGGGAGGTGGGAACACACAGTGGAGATGTTTCTCTGACCTTATAGCTGCCCCAGGCCTCCCCACCCCCACCCTCTTCCCGGTACAGCAGGCTGGGTAAAGGAAGCTGAGGATCTTCTGGAAGGTACCAGAGAGGTCCAGGGTAACGTATGGCTGTTTCTCAAATACCGAGAAGCATCTTTCTTGAACCATGGGCCGACCCACAGAGAAGGATACATGTGGTACAGGCAGAACAAAGGATGAGCATTCAGTTAGGGCTCAATTTGTAGAGCCTGTTTCCTGGCATTTCTCTGTAGTTTTCAGAACTCTTGCATGTGAGTGAGGGGCTTAAGAAAGCGAGCCATTGATGGGACATGGCCACAGATGGCTTGGGGGAAACATGCTTTGCCCTGGTGTGACCTGGTGTGCGGAGGTCATGTGCTATCCCAAGTGGGCCCATCTGCCTTTTCTCTCTACTTACGATCAGATCCATTTCTGTGCCCCAACTTCTCTGATAAAGCCCTTGACCCTTGGCATTCGAGAGCACCACTCCCAAGTTCTCACCAGCTGTGAGGTTTAAGTCTCCGGTCCCACATGAAAGACAAAAGATTGTGATGGGCCACCCCTGAACACAGAGTGAGGTGCTGTGGAGGGTGGATGGTCAAGGAAGGGGGCTCTTGGGATGCTTTGCCAATGTGCAAATACTCCTCACCCCTCCCAGGAGCAAGCTCCACGAGGCCCCGTTTCAACGGTGTTCTTTCTTGTTTGTGTCTGTTGGTGTAAAAGCGACAGGAAAAGGAACGTGCTCGGACCTGCCCCAAAAAAGTGATCACTCTCTCTCCTCCCCCTACTCCACCTTCCTGCCGGGCTCGAAGCGTTCAGCAGGTGATCCTCTGCATGCTCTCTGTCCTGTCTGTACTCCCACTTACGCTGTGCATGTAGGGAGCCACCTCAGTAAACCCTCTTTTCGAGGCTAAGTTTT